GGAATACCACATCAACCTGGGCCAATTCAGAACTATGAGGGTCACTGGAATGGTGTCCTACTCCATCCTGCCTAGCAGATTATGGATTTTCAGAAGAGGATAGGCAAAAATCAGGCTGTACTAATTCCACAGAGCCACCACAGCATCCACTGCTTCCAGCAGATGACCTCTAGACTTGGAGACAAACCTGTTCAGTTTGTTGATAAACCTGAAACTTAGGAGGTCCATATCCAGAGTTCCCAGCCTGTGACAGGTTCTGGTACACCTCTGGGTGTAAGAACCACTCCCCGGAATCAAGGGACTGCTGGCTGAAGAAGTTTGTCAATTTTACACACCAGGGGTGTGAAGAGTGGAAAAGGCCAAGTAGTTCTACCCAAGAAACTCTGATCTACTTCTTTTGCCGCGGATCTTGATCAAGTGAACCTCCAGACAAGATGTCCAGCATTGTAGGAACAGCCAAAATCACTCACAGCTCCATAAATTGTGATCAGGATACAAGATACCACCTGTGCACATGTCCCCTGCACTAATAAAGTTGTCTAAGACTCCTTCACAGCTTGTCAGGCTGGCATTCTGTCACAAGTCTATTCCAAGATATCAGAAGGTACGATTTTCCTGACTACAGAACTAGACCCCTGCGCCAGTAGGCGAGAGACATCCTGGTTCTTGATGTCAGGTGAATCAGTTTGTCCAAAGACTGAGCTGACTTGTCCCACGATGACAAGATGTTAAGCTGTGGCATTTTGGAGTGGAATTGGGCAAAATGGAAACACAAAAAAGAAGGCTACCATCACACCAGGACTCATGCAGAAGCGAAGAGCCAGAAACTTGAGGTACAGCAGATAGGACAATTATCAGGGCCACAAACTAAGTGCTGTGGACCCATAGAAAAGTGAAGGAAGAGCTGATGGGCTGAACAAACAGGGACATGGAAGTATGTGTCGGATGTCTAGGGGCCAGTAAGTGATGCTGTTGGAAGGAGCCTATGACAGATCTGGTACACTGCATTCAGAAGTTTTTGGACACGAAAGAAGACAAATATGGCCTTGAGATACCAACTGCGACTGATGCCCCCCCTTTTGGTTTGGGAACGGTGAAAAGGTTGGAGTAGATACCCCGAAACATTTTCACGGTAGGAACTGGGTTAATTATCACCTGATCCAAAAGGCTTGTAAAGGGTATATGAAGATCTACCAATATGGATGAACAACTTATCAGGAGTACCCAAGCCCCTGTAAAGGAAATCTGGGATTAGTGGTTGCACTGGAAAAATCTTGATAGTCTTAGGCATCTGTGCCAGTGCGAGGACCTGCTACTGTGAAAATGTAGAATACAACACAGAGTTCTCAAGAATACAGTTTGAAGGGGCTCCAGAATGCCCATTCTGAGTGGAGAAAGGTTGTTTTTCATCTTTCTCTAGGTTTTGTAATTTCCAAATTAGAGTCTGGAGCTCAGAGACTTCAAAGTGCTTTTGCAGGGAAGAAATCTCTAATTCGTGTCTAGATCTTGCCAGAAACCAGCAGGTTGAGTGTGCAGGTGTTTACAACCTTTATAACCTAGGACCTGACAAGGGACAGAGCAGCAAGGAGCTGGAAAAGAGCAGAAGAACAGAGCTTGTATGGGAGCACGGAGGTTAGATGGTCCGGAGGACCAAGGCAAAAGGCCTGGGCAGTGGTGCTGCTAGAGAGAGACAGAAAGCTAAATGCCATTTACGTTTGTGTTGTTGCTGGAAACCCCTACATAGGAAACAGGATTTTCTGTGTGAACTTTTCTGCTTTGTTAATAAAAGTGGGCGAGACATCTCGTTGAGTGGACTCAACTCACTGGAAAGACTATCACTGAGCAAATCCCCTAGAACAGTGGTCGGCAAGCCGCGGCTCGCGAGCCACATGCGGCTCTTTACCCAGTCTAATGCGGCTCTTCTGTGTGCCGGGCGCCTGCTCCCCTCCCTCCTCTCGGTCGGCCGCTCCCCTGCCTCCTCTCGGTTGGCAGCCCCAAAAGTCCGCGCGGACCTTTTAATCCGGCCTGCGCATGTGGCTGTCAGGATGTGTGTAGGCGGGGCAGCGTGCCGAACGTGAGGGGAGGGGAGCTAGGCTCCTCTCACAGTCCGCCCTGAAGACCCGAACGGCGCGGGAAGACAGCGAGAGGAACGCAAAAGGTAAGTGAATTGACACGGGGGACTTGGCTTACTAGAAGGGGGGGGGGGGGGGGGAATAGTACTGTGGGGGATGAAATACTATATGAGGGATGAAATACTATATGGGGGGATGAAATACTATATGAGGGATGAAATACTATATGAGGGATGAATTACTATATGATGGATGAATTACTATATGAGGGATGAAATACTATATGGGGGGATGAAATACTATATGGGGGGGGATGAAATACTATATGAGGGATGAATTACTATATGAGGGATGAAATACTATATGGGGGGATGAAATACTATATGAGGGATGAAATACTATATGGGGGATGAATTACTATATGAGGGATGAATTACTTTATGAGGGATGAAATACTATATGGGGGGATGAAATACTATATGAGGGATGAAATACTATATGAGGGATGAAATACTATATGGGGGGATGAAATACTATATGAGGGATGAATTACTATATGAGGGATGAAATACTATATGGGGGGATGAAATACTATATGAGGGATGAAATACTATATGGGGGGATGAAATACTATATGAGGGATGAAATACTATATGGGGGGATGAAATACTATATGAGGGATGAAATACTATATGAGGGATGAATTACTATATGGGGGATGAAATACTATATGAGGGATGAAATACTATATGAGGGATGAAATACTATATGGGGGATGAAATACTATATGGGGGATGAAATACTATATGGGGGATGAAATACTATACGGGGGATGAAATACTATACGAGGGATGAAATACTATACGGGGATGAATTGCTATGGGGGATGAATTACTATATGGGGGATGAATTACTATGGGGGATGAATTACTATATGGGGGATGAATTACTATGGGGGATGAATTACTATGGGGGATGAATTACACTATGGGGGATGAATTACACTACGGGGGATGAATTACTATATGGGGGATGAATTACTATGGGGGATGAATTACTATATGGGAGATGTATTTTCAGTTTTAAAAATGTGGCTCTCAAAATAAATTTCAATCATGGTTTTGGCGAGATTTGGCTCAGTTGAAAAAAAAGGTTGCCCACCACTGCCCTAGAACATCACACAGCCCATAGATGAGTCAAACTGACTTGATTCCCCCATCCACACACTCAATGTGGATGGGAGAATCCTCCCCACTGAGCTACTGTATTCTGACAGAGGTAAGACATCCCCGCCATGAGAATACACTGATCAGCGTTGCAAGCTATTGCCCGCATTGCTGATCGAGTGGGGAAAATCCGGTAGGGTGGTTGTACAGAAATCAATCAGTAATAGACTTCCGAAAAACCTCCTTGCCCATAAATGGATTGAATTTGGTTACTCCATGCTGAACTGGCCAAATTTTGATCAAAGTATGGCTGGCTTTAGAACCTCTAAAGGGATCCCAGGCAAGCAGCTGCTCTGGTAGAGGCTGCAGGCTGATCTTCCAGATTCAAAGTGGCAAGCACTGTGTCATTAAGAGCTCAAAAGGTCTATGTAAGCATGGAAGCAATATTAGTGGAATTCAACTTTCTTGACACTCAGCACCAGACACAGCTTCTGCAGCAGAAATCATCAGAAATCAATTCTGCAGGGTAAGGCATGGAGATACACTTACAGTCTCTGTGGTAGGAATCAGCAATCAAGGTTTCCATGACCAAGAAAATCCTGCACAACTTCACTGAAATCCTCCTAGGATAGGACTGAAGAGGGGGCCATGTCTGACGAAGGTAAGGCCAACTCTGAGGACTCAAGCAGAGGACAACATTCCGCCAGGCTGTCCATGTCAGGTCCTTGAGTGGGTGCACTGTAGACAGCACTGGAGCCGTTAGTGGACAGTGAGCTGAAGGAACCATTACATTGGAAATGCTCCAAATGGGCCTGGGATCCAACATGTTGTGCTGTAAGGAAGGGACAATGAAACTCAAGAATCAAGGCAGGTCCTAGACTACTGATAAATTGGCAGCTTGTGGCCACTGTAGAACAACTGTAAAAACCAACTGAGGATACCCATTTCACTTGTGATAAGCAGCAGTGCCAGGAATGTTTTACTTCACACTAAATGGTGCGAAGAAGGGTGCAGAGTGTACTTGTGACACTTGTGTCAGTGCTCAGATTCTCAACCTTAACCCTTTCCAAGGTGAACCAACAGAAAAAAAGAGCTAAAAACTACACACAACAGTTTTATTCATAAGGTAGTTAATAGTGCACAGCCTACATGGCCCAATCAACAAACGCTGTAAAGGCCATACCTTGATCCTGCAGGGCTGGATGAGTATGGGGCCATCTTCGAATGCTGAGAGTGGGAGGGGTTGTCCTAGACTGCTTACTGTTTTTTGTTTGCCAGTGTCCAAATTCTTTTGTAGATGACAGTGCAACCAAGTTATCTCAATATTCTGTGTCCCTCAATGAGTGGAATGAAAAAATCTAGTTGCCTGGTCCACAGTTCTGGTGGTGCAAGGCCCTCTGCCCACTTTATGGCTGATGCCTTTTTTTTGTAGAATTACTCAACCAATGTGTTATTAAGAGCACAACTCCAGCTAAAACATTTTAAACATCTAAGCAGAATATGGAAGAAATCTGTCTATTGTTAAGTTCTCAACTAACTTCCATCTCCTCAAACAAAAAGAGCATTTCTCCAGTCGGGCACAGACAGCTGTACAAATGAACAGGGTCATGTCCAATCTCCATTACAGTACAAAAATGATTTTGCTTTTGTATGTGTTCTCTCTGGAGAGATTATACCGATTTCCTGTTTTGGTGAGGGAACCCCCCTCCCCACCCAGTAGGGACACAGATAGCAATAAAAGCTTGACAGAGTATCTAACCTTTCAGCAGAATATCCAAAACTTACAAAAAAGTTTTATTGGATGGAGGCTACAATGTACATATACCAAATACCTGTGTATGACATTGTGGTAACACTTTGGAAGCTGGTGAGTGTTTTGTACAGATCTAGAATACACACCATGATCACTAAAAAGCAGTTGTTTCCATTTTTGTCTTTCTACTTCTGATGCCTTTAAGCCCAATACAGCCTTTAGCTCTTGCAGAACTCTTTTAGACTCCTCCCTTTCTCGCTTCTGTCTTTCCCTCTCTTCCGGTGTAAATAGGAAGACATCCTCCCTGCTAAATTCATTGTCCACAGCAATGTCTTCCACATAGGCTTCTAATTCCTGAAAGAAAACAGCGATATATTAGAAGAACACAATGACATTTTGGCAGTAATTTCAGTCACTGGGGGATCCACAGCATTTTATCCACCTCACATAATAACTATACAAGCAAAACAGAAGTTGATGGTAAGATGAGAGACTTTTAGTTTACGGATTACCTGTTCCTCTGGCACCGGATCTCTGTCTTCAATTCGTAAGGGGGGAGGCACATTAGGCACCATAAGGCAATGTGAATTTTCACAAGAGTTTGTTTGCAGTTTCTAAGGCACAAGATTAAATATATCAATGACAGGATCTGACATATGTACCAAAAAATCTACAGTAAGCAATACAACTGCTAAACCAGAAAAACTGCATTAAAATGATATAATAGGAGAGAGAAAAGTGCAATTTGCATCATTTGCATTCTTTTCCTGTATCATTTCATATAACACTGGCCATTTATTTATGAACTGAGAGAACAATTGATAAGCTTGGATAATAAAAGGTTCATTATTTTATTCCACTTCACAGACTATGAATGGACTGCAAAAGAATCAATAAACATTATTTATGTGGTAGTGGGTATACAAATATTTTTTCATGGTTAGATTGTTTATAAATGAATGGCTGATGTATTAATGTTGACAACTATGGACAACTTAAATTAAATTCAATTTCCCCAACTTTAAATAAAACACATGATCAGCATGTGACTGCAAATTCCACGTGTGTAATTTTATAGACAGCAACAACAGAGACCCGCATTGGCAAAGAAAAAAATTAAACCAGTATAACAGAAGTGTATTATACCTTTTATAGCTGGGGGTTTCCGAACCATCCTTTCCACCTGACACAATGCCTCCTCCCAGCATGTGTTACTGGCCTGCACATGTGGCTGTATCAGCCTTAGTTTTTCTTCCAAGATGAGTGAAGCTTCAGCGGTCATGCTTTGAGTTTCCTTAGAGGATGCAAGCTTTTCTAATTCATCCTCAAGTATAATCACTCTGGACAAGAAAGATACAAAACACCATCAGTATGTATACAGCCTTGCTGGTTGTATTTAATTTGTTTTCATGCTATTTCTATGCCATTGTACAATTATGTAGTTTCATGTGTGTTTTATAATCTCCTAAAGCCTTATTGGCTTGATGGCTAGACACAGCAGAAATAGGTCCACTATCAGGTAATAACAAGAGTGCTTAAAAAACGAGTTGCGCAAAAGATGGCATGATCCCAATATCATTGAGCTAGTCTCAAACTACCTGTTACAAAAAGTAAGATAACCAAAGTCTGTGGTGATACTAAGGGAAGATGTTTGGAGAAGCCTACCATGTGGGTACCTTCAAAAACTCAATGTTGATATACTTGAGGGATATGCTGTTTTGTGAGAAAGTGATCACACCATACCTTAATCTCATTTACTTTTTTTCCGGTTTACTGCCTTTTGCGGAAATGGCTTGTTCACAGATTTTGTTTCCTCTAAAATACCTAAAGCTTTATTGCTTACGAGTATATGCATAAAAAACATAAATAAAAAAAATTTTAAATTAAACCCCCCCCCCCGCCAAAAAAAATAAATTAAAAAAAAAAAAAAAAAAAAAAAAAAATATATATATATATATATATATATATATATATATATATATATATATTTATTTTTTTTTTTTTTAAATGTGAAAACTCTATTTTTTAACTCTGAAAGCACAAATACCTGACAGAGTTTTACTTAGACTTACTCATTGAGTAGTGCCTTCAGATGTAGTTGTAGACTGCGTACAGCCCCATGAAGATTGTTCAGCTCCCCGGTCTCCCTTTTTCTCCTGTTTGTGCGCTCTGCACTGGACTGGTGTTGTGTTTCAAAATAACGATAAAACTCATAGCTACGTTTCAGTTCTGTCAAGCAGGTAGCCTGCGTGTGAGGTAGATCTTGAACTACATCACACCAAATGTAGTGTGGAAGCAGCTCTGGGTTAGTGATTGGGCCTTGGTATGCATTTTCAGGAGACAGCAGTAGTGCTAGACGCCGAAAGAACTCTGAACTCTGGCCTATCCAGAGCTGAAACAGAACCTGTCAAGACAAAATAAATTCACTTTTGAAATTTCACGGCAGCACAATTTCTGAATATTTGAGGCAAAATAGACAATCATTACAATAAAATATGTATTGAAATTATGCTTTAATTTTTTAAATTAAATAAGTTATCATGCTTGAGGTGATTAAGTTATCACAAAATCCTGTAAATCTACAAGACAAAAAAAATAAAAAGATCACCTATTCAACTATGCCACATCAGGTAATCATGAGTTAAAAAAAAAAAAAAAAAAAAAAAAAAAAGTATTGCGGTACATTTAAGAAGTTAAAATAACTATACATGTGTAAAACATCTTTACTATACATTGTTAAACATGTTAGGCAATGCTGCAACTTAGTTGACCCTGCAAATTTAAAGCCCAACTCAAAGTTTATTGAAGAAAAATTACTCATGGAAATAAAATAAAATGTAGCTTCTACTCCAACACTTGCTTTCTCCCTGGTACTGATTTCCACAGACAATCTGCTCCTCTTCCAGGTTGAATGATGTCCCAATGTCACTCAAAGAATGCGCAGAGAATAACACTCACCTTGAGTGCCATTCTCTGCCACACTGAGAACTGCCCATCTCTGTAAAGGAGAAGCAGGCTTCTGTTTAAAATGTTTAACGTAAGGAGGTGTGCAGGAGAAAGGGGTAACCTTTGGGAAAAAGGCACATGAAAACGTGGATTTGAATTTTAGAGCCATGTGAGGAAAAAAAAAAAAAACAAAAAAAAAAACAAATTCTCTTCCCCAGACAACTCTCGCTAATGTTTACCAATGTTTCAACTTAAAACTTACCTTTACTCACCTTTTACTGAATGCATAATCCTTTGCCCGTCCCATCCCTTTATTTTATAGATACCCAACATATCAAGATTTAAAATTGTGCTTGCCCGTAAAAAGGCGATGAGCTTTGGTATGCTAAGTTTTCCATAGGCAACGGTTTAATAGCTCCTACAGGTCATCACTTCAGAGTTACTCATGAATGAATGATGGGCCTAGAATTATTGCTCTCACTCCGGTGTGCCCGGCAATATGTAACGTGTAGTGCAAGCAATGTTTTCTATACGTAGATGCCCCCACCAGGTTTGTTTGTGCCTGTATGTGAGGGAGGGGTTGGCTCAAAAATTTTTGGGGGATTCAAATACTTGGGCGCAACTTTATTTTTCTGACACTGTTTTTTTACTAAAACTTTATATCACAGGACGAAAAAAATTACATAAAATGTTAAAAAAAACTACATAAATTTATTTGTGACATGTTCTTTTTACAAGATATCAGGGGTCTTTTAAACCCCTGATGTCTCATCTGCCATCCACTGGAGCACAGTTCACTTTAATAAACGAACTAGCTAGTGACACCCACCCGATCACTTTCATCATTCAGCATAATCATGTAACAGTTCTAACCAATATGGATGAATGATGCTTGGCTCAGCAGATATGTGAAGAGGGCCAGGAGCGGGAAGGGTGCTGGTAATGCATCTTTAATTTTTTGGAATTACCCTTTAGTATACTATCCAACTATACCTGGATGAAGGTACACCAATATCTAATAAACTATAAGTGTAACTCTGGAAAGAGCATGCTGCACTATTGTAAATTTATAATGCAAAGGGCAGGTATGCTTAAAACCAAACTAAAGTCTCAAACTGATTTTAAAAAGTCTTATATTGTAGCATGCTATTTTGAATGGATTATTGCTTTTTTAATCCCAAACAATCCTGCTGTCCCATTGAGAATGTGATAAGTACGAGTCACACCCTCACTATAGGTGTCCCCACACAGACTTGCAGTGCTAGGAAAGAGTGGGGTTTGACCGACCAGGTCTGTTGGCCCAGCTCACTAAGTGGAGTAGGTCAAACTCTGCTGACAACTGAGCTGCGCAGTCAAGACACCTTTTCAACTGTTTTAACAAGAAAATAGAGAATACACTTTAAAAACAGAGGCTGTTCGTATAATTTCATTCTAATTAAATATCTTTCAGTGACTTCAATTGCTCTTTAATATACAGATGTCAAGCAGTTCCAGTATGGTGCCTACCTTCAAAGCAGGGAGGCTAAAGCCATCTGTGAGATTGTGGGCCTCCTCCTCAGACACCTGGTCTTCACTTAACCCCATGCCCAAGTCTTTCAAAGGAACGACACAGATGTAGTTAGTCACGTTGTCTATCTCAGAATTTAAGGGATAAGTTTGATTACAGTTAAGAAAAGTAAGAACTATTTTGAAAATGCCACATATGTACAGGTTTGGTATGCTTTTTAATTCAAACAGCTGATGGACCATACAGGATTATGATTTTAACAGTTTGACTGCTTTTAAAACAAAGTATTTTATTTTTACTCTGTGCGATGAAAAACAAGGCAAAATGTTACCAGACTTAGAATTATTTTACTAGACATCTAGACTAGAGGTCTCCAGCCTGCATCAGCACATGAGCAACATTCAGACATAAATGCTGGCAAGCTGGCGGTAAGCCCATAAAGCATTAAAAAATTGCAAACACTTTTAAAGCACTTTAAATTACATTTAGTAAATCTGGAAACCCACGCTGGGTGTCATTTGTTTTTTTTTGTGTTCTCCAGCTTTATGGGCCTATTCAGAAAACCTAATGTTAACCAAATATTCTGAAGCATTCCTGAAATTACCAGAAATGCTTTTTTGGCCCACATTCAGGTTTTAAAATGATAATTTACCTAAAGCGATGTGTGTAAGGAATATGACAATTATAAAATTAAATATTAACAACATTACTCTTGCAAATTCTTGGAACACCACTGAACATTTTCTCTATACCAGGAAATGTGTTTGCCTTTTCTGCAGCACCTTCTTAGCACTAGTGGTTTTCAAATTAAAGTAAATCTAAAGCCAACATTTTTTTTTTTTTAATTTTGGATACAGGAGGGTATGGTTTGTTTTTCTTGCCTCCTGTGTCTCATTGTAGGAAATTTCCCTTCACATCTTGTCCTGTATACAGAACAAAAGTGAGAGAAGTTCCTTTTAACAGAATTGCTCCATTAGTGGATTTACCCTCTATGACCATTTTAATGACAACTCCCAAATTTGCATTTATTCTCACTTTAAGTCTCTGCAGTGGTCACCTGGACAATAACAAGTGAGTAAATCTACACAATGAGGATGCAGACTGCAATAAAACCTTGACAGGTGCAGTAACCTATAACCACTGTATCCAAAACTAAAACAAATTAGCTTTGCGTTTAGGCACACTAAGTATCTTGGTTTAATCCCTTTGATGCTTCCAGCTGGCCAGGTCTGTACACAGTACAGATCTGCATTCCTGCTTCTGCTATAGGCTCATTGTCATGCCAGTGACCATGAGCTTATAGCAAAATTGTTCAGCAGACTATGCTGAACAATTTTAATAGCTCTGATCAGTGACAATGGTATCAATGGGAGGAAATTTCCCACTGTTATCATTCACAAACTGCCCCCCACCACCACTCTAGTTCCCCCTTCCCTGAAGAACTAATCCCTGCCACACCGATCGCCCCCCCCCACCAGCACCAATCCCGCCTCACTGATTTACTGTGGCTTCCCTCCTCTGCCCTCCCACTGGCTTTAGGGACTGCAGGGGAGCCACAGAAAAAGGATTGCCACAAATCCATCCCCCCTGCGCAGTTATCCCCCCCACCTGATCCTTGGCACTGCCTTCCTCTGCTGCTGTTGGCCGGCTCTCCCTGCTCCTCCTTCCGCTGGCTACAGCTTCTGCTGAGGCTCAGGAAGCTGTCAGGATGGATAGCAGTGGGGGGTGTGGGTGTGGGTTGGTAAACATGTGTTCACCAGCCTCCTTCCTTTCCTTGAATGGGCATAGTGAGCAATCTCTATTGCTTGCCCCTGTGTCCATACATCACTGGAGCATAGTAAACATTGTTTTCTATGCCTTAGTTTTATGAATGAATAAGTCAATACAGAGACTTCTATTCATTCATATGAATTGCAGCTGAGACTTTGGGGAAAGGGACGGTCTCAAAAAAGTACAAAATGTTATTTATAAAAAAAACAAACAAACCCATAGTGAGGCCTCATTCACACAGGGCTTACTTCTGTGTACACTCCTGCAAGGCCATGTTTACCTGCGTGGGGATGCACAGGTGTTCCGTGCATCTCCACGCAGGCAGACATATTGATGGTCCGGGTACATGTCCCTAAGCTTACACTGTCTGCATTTCAGGGCCATGCACCCACACCTACAAGTAGGTCCGGTTGGAAGCAGGAGCTGTGCTTTTGCAGCAGCTGCATCCCTATTGACATGAATGGGACTGCCTGTATGAGGGTGCACAGAACACCTGGGTGGGTAAACACGGCTCTCCACAGGCATACACTTTACTACGCCCCATGTGAATGAGGCCTTCGTAGCAATTTAGCAAATTTTGTAAGTTATATTGTGTTTGTGGGCACTCAATGATTTTAGTGTAGTTTTAGTTAAATTCGTAAGTTTGTAAACATTTGCACAACTATCGAATGCGTAAAAAATCAGTAGCACTTTTTAGTTTATTCTACAGTCATGTGCTTTCAGAATATGGATAGTTTGGGGGGTCTTTTACAAATTCTGAAAGCTAAAAGTGAAAGATCAAAACCTCTAGATTTTGAATAAAATTCTTTTAATGTACAGTTTAGCGCACCTTCAGTTTTCACCAGTTCACAAAATGGTGCAATTTAAAATGTATAAATATTTGTTTTAACTCAATACAATTTTAGGTTTTATATTTAGTAGGAGTTTAGCAGAAATTTTGTAACGTTTGCCATTTATGTATTCACGAATGATTTTAGTGTATTTTCAACGAAAAGAGCGAACTGATAAACATCAGATATCATAGCGCCTTATTCTGCTGGTCATGTGCTTTCAGAAAATATATGGTTTGGGGGTCTATTACAAACTCTAAAAGCTGTAAGGGAATAACAAAAAAAAAAAAATACTTCTGTGGTACGGAAGTGCTTGTTCATTAGAATACATGGAACAGCTGAAGCTTTACATCTGCAAATATATACATGCAATTCAACCAAAAATTAGGCATTAGATACCATACCAGGTAAAACTCTGAATATGTCAGAATACTTTATTCAAATGTGTAAATGTCATTAGCCTACATGTATGCTAGATGATAACAAGAACATATCTTACAATGTTTTTACTTTTAAGCTTGTGCAAGCAAACTTTATGAAGACCTACATACCTTGTGATAGCATGGGCATTGACAGGTACTCTTTACTGAGAGATTGGAGGTCCTTTAGACCCCTGATCTCTCCTCTGCCCTCAAAAGCTTCCGATCAAACCGAGATATGTTCAATCAAATGCTTGCCTAGGTGGTGATGGTTAGTAAACTGCCCTGTAAAAGTGATCAAGTAGTTGTAGAGCTACTCAGATCACTTTTATAGGAAGGAGGATTTCTGGCTCTAAAAGAATGATTCCAGGATCATGGCTCCTGGTATAACCAAAAGGGACAGTTTACTGTCCTTCAGACTTTAGGGGGGCCAGACTGTGGCCAGTGAGAGCAGAAAATGTCCTGGCATCAGTGAGAGTAAACAATGCCTCATCATTGGTATTAACGGGAGATATAGTGCCCCATCACTGGTATCAATGGGAGGAAGTTTCCCACTGTTGGTGTCAGAGAAAAATAGTGCCCCATCAATGGTGTCAGTGGGAGGAATAGTATCCCATCATTGGTGTCAGTGCGAGGAATAATGCCCCATTATTGGCATTAGTGGAAGGAATAGTGCTCCATTGTTGGGGTCAGTGGCAGGAACTATGCCCCACTGTTGCTGATAGTGGTGGGGGGGAATAATGCCCCAAGGGCCGGATAAAAGCAAGCAAAAGGGCCGCATCTGGCCCCCAGGATGCAGTTTGGAGACCACTGCTCTAGAATGTACAGGTATGTCCTTGGGATGGGAAGTTGTTAAATCTACCACCCCACAAAGAGCATTTTAATACAATATTGGCAGAAATGACCAAACCACTAAATCATTTATGAAATTTAATCTGGAATCTTGTCTCTACTGCTGGCTGTTCCACAATGTAAAATAAATGAATACATGAATGAGGAATCTGCCATTGAAAAGGAGACACACCCTTGCAGAGGGCTAGTATGTAAACCCGAAAATCAGATGTGAATGCAAATGACCTGTTCGCTTTGCAAGAGAATAGAGACAACCAAAAGGGCCGAATGTGGCCCTGGGGTTGCAATCTGCCCAGGTCTGATATAATTTCTCATTAAAATACACAAAGTCCATTTTACAAGATATATTAGCAATCAGTTTATTAAAATCACTCTAATATCCATTATTGGAAAGGATATTTCTTAAGCATGTACAGTGTTGCCAGTCGAGAAACTCGGAAGTTGGTCCTGACGGTCCTGTAGACAGCTTTACGCAACCCAAGGAGATGCTGGCTACTATGTTGTCCAACCTTATCATATGGGCAAGCAGCACTGACCCTGTCAAGCAAACTTGAAAAGTAAAATGTGATACATCTGTACAGATGTCCCAAACCACTTACACCACATACATAATGTTTTCAACATACTACTATTCACTGTACTAACAGCAAATACATCTAATATTTTACATTTCTATATAATGTCTATTCAAAGATGAAACAAATACTCCTATACAAAGTTGTACATGTCTATCCAGTCTCCTCTACATCTGTTTAAAGTGCTGAATTTATCAAGCTTGTCTGAACGTTCAGAAAACAGGGGGCGGAGAGCTGAAATTACATTTTGCAGAGCTTAGTGAGGAGAGCTCTGAGAGCGAATTGGAGCTCACATGAACAGTTGCTAAGTTGTCATCACTTCTGCCTAGCAGCATAGGGTCGTTGGTTTGAATCCCAACCATGACACTACTTGCCTGGAGGTTGCATGTTCTCCCTGTGCCTGCATGGGTTTCCTCCCACCTTCCAAAGACATGCTGGTAGGTTAACTGGCTCCTGTCCAAATTGGTCCTAGTATATGTGTATGTATGAATGTGAGAGTTAGGGACCTTAGAGTGTAAGCGCCTTGAAGGCAGCCTGATGTGAATATACAAGTAAAGCTCTGTGTAAATTGACAGTTCTACACAAGTACCTGTAGTAAATAAATCTGCTGGAGGTCCCTCCCGTCACCATTTTTTTTTTTTGGTGTCAGGAAAACTTGTCAGCAGTGATTCATGCTAATAGATGAACAAAGTAGCAGACGGAAATGACACTTACTGCTTTTAATTGAGATAAGTACACACTATAGAGGGATAGGTTTTGTTCATATTTCATGCCTGAGGTTTACAACCACTTTAAGAGCGAATAGTCTATTACTTCGATAAACTAATACAGTAAACAACCGTGTAGTTTCATTTGGCAATACATATAATCCAAACATGTAACAGTATGTGGATGTGCCTAAACATAGAGTCGTAGTAATTAAAATGGCAGAAATCAAAGCAAGGAAAATCAATATCTAATTAAAAGGATCACAAATGACAATGGGTGGCCTAATTAGAGCATCCAAAAAAAAAAAAAAGCAAATTAACGGAATGCTACATTCAAAAATAAATTCTGGGAAAAAAAAAAAAAAAAAACAAATCTGGAAAAACTGGTGCTACCTGTACGTATGCAAAACTTAATATACTATAAAAATCATGCAGAGAGCAATGTACTGTGCAATTTGCAGGAATTCTCACATATATAAAAGGAGATTTATAAGCAGTTCCCATCTGAACTTCAGGTCTAATAATTTACTGTTCTCCAATATGCATACTTCTCCCTCTATCCCTTATTTATCTGTAATTGACTTATGGTTAGAAGTCAGCCACTTCACATTTTTGCAGTACCAATATTCATTGGCATGGGTCTTATTCTCTGCTATTGGAGTACATTGAGAAAGTACTACATGCTTTCATTTCACACAGCTAGTGTGCTCAAAGAAACGGCTGCATGTGCCAAGTTCGTTATATCAAATTTTCAGCTCTTTACAGTGTGGAAAAAAAGCCATAAGATTTAACATTTTGCACTAAGTTTATTGCATGCTTTACAGCTTGTTACTATTCCAATATAGTGCAAGAAATTCCCCAATAAAAGATATTGCAGTATGGTCCAAAGACAGGGCCCTGTTTTTAGCACTGTGTTTGAAAGCTATAAAACATGTTAAAAGAGCGAGAGAAGTAATGTGGAAACCATCTACATACTTTTACTTTGCTGCAAGCTTCATAAACACCGAACAATTTTATTGGATGACATTAGCCAAGCAGTTACAATACCATATTTCCAATATATTAGTGAATATTGCGATGATGCACATATGTTCATGTCAGAAATCATGAACTTGTATTTTTGTGTGCATACCAAACAATCAATGTTGAGGTGGGATGGGAAAGAAGGTCAAATGTAAAACTCCACAGGTAAACACACAAATGAATGCAGCTCTGTATTCATAAATACAGCTTTAAATATTTTTTGTTTAGTGCAAGCAATATAAATATCTGAACTTGATTTGATATTGGCAATCCCTGTACAGCAGAGTTCAGACTTGGAGAGGGAGAAGTAGCAAACATAGCCAAAATCAGTTGTGAGACACATGCCAAACTTTTGTACTTGAGTCAAATAATGCCTACAGATAATGGGTGATACACGTGAATAAATGACACATGAAACTGACATGGTGTATTAAATTTTTATGATCTACATTAGCAAAAATGCAAATTTGTCATATGGAAAAAGTTAGTACACCCTTACATTTACCGCCACTTCAAATCCTTGAAATCTAATCTACCTAATTTTCCAATTGAAAATAATATTTTAATAATTAAAAATACTAACACACACACACTATTTATCTCTCTCTCTCTCTCTCTCTCTCTCTCTCTCTATCTATCTCTATATATATATATATATATATATAATAAAAAACACACACAGTATATTTTTTCGCTCCGTAAGACACACTTTTTCCTCCCAAAAAATGGGGGGAAATGTCTGTGCGTCTTACGGAGCGAATATTGACCAGGCCTCCCCCCGTCACCGTGTTAGAATACTGAGCTGGACGCTTGGCTCTTCTGTGACAGAAGAGAGGAGGATTCTGAGTCAGCAGTGCAGCAGGGCCCAAAGCAGCTGTCCCTTAAAGCGGCGTTCCAGCTGGAAAAGAGAAAAAGCTACAAAAAAACTGTAGCTGCTGACTTTTAAAATACAGCCACTTACCTGTTCATTGGTCCAGCGGTGTCTTCACCACCGCTAGGTTTCCCTGGGCGTCTTCTCTTCCTGGCGCCGGCATCTTTAGTGTGGGCACCTGGCTGTGGCAGCTTGCCTACTGCACATGTGCGAGAAGCGCTGCGCTCTGTGAATGGCCCCGTAGTCTTCTGGGACCTGTCATGTGTCCCAGAAGACTACAGGGAGGGAGGACAACTTCCGCTTCCGATCGCTTAGGCGATCGCAGCGGAAGTGGGAGCAGGGACCTGTCAAATTCGGGTACCCACTCCCCAAAGGTGCCAATCCTTAATGGGGAGTAGGGGTCAAAGCATTAAAGCAGAATTTCCCATTTTGGGTGGAACTCAGCTTTAAGCCTGTGACGCCCTTAGATTGGGGCCCCGATCACTGCACTGCAGAGCCGACAGGGTATGCTGAAGACATTGTTGTGAGCCTCGCCCTCAGAGAGGATGCTGAGCCCGGCTGGCCAGGTATGTCCTCTCCCCTACAGACTGCCTGTGGGCTGCATTACCAAAATGTATATATGTGCATTGCTGAAAGGTCTCTGGTCATGTCCTGTACTGTGTGCGCAGTCTCTGGTCATCTCCTGTACTATGTCTGCAGTCTCTGGTCGTCTCCCGTAGCACATCCGCAGTTTCTGGTCATTTCCTGTACTATGTCTGCAGTCCATTGGTTCAGAATATTTTTTTTCTAGTGTTCCTTCTCTAAAACCTAGGTGCATCTTATGGTCAGGTAGGTCTTATGGAGCAAAAAATACGGTATATCCTTTGACAAACCATGTATCTACAGTAGCTTGACTAGCAGAGATGCAGCATGACATATTAAAATATATCTTGCACACATCTATTTAGAACTCACTAGCTCTCAGCGTTAGAAGCAATAGAGTTGGGTTTGCAGTAAAGTTATTAGAACAACCACTGAGGTTGAGCTGAGGCAGACTAAAAGGAAAACAAAATATTCTATACGGTCATAGTATATTATGCCCATAAATGGTATTCAATGATTTATCTGCATACATACTGTAAAAAAAATGAATCTATAAACAATCTATGGGCAGCACAGAGTATGATTACAGAAATAATCCCCAACTGTTCATACTGTCCCTTCACAAACAGATGTCTCTCAGTGCTTCTGAATCCCATGTTGACCCTGCTATGTTAACATAGTAATGCATGATCCAGAATTCTTGTTTTCAGCCCCTTTATAAAGGCAATCTAGCATACTGTGCAATACAAAGGGGAGAAACAATGAATTACTATTGGCTCCATTTCCCTAGGCAAGGTACAGGGTGAAAAGGTCCTGAAGAAAACTGTATTTAATTGAGTGGTAAGCTGAAGATAATACTACTCAGTAACTATGTACTGCTTGTAGATTGTTTGTGGTCCGTTTTACTGGGGAGGTAATAAGTTTTCACCCTTCTGTATGTTTCAGTAAATAGTTAAATGATCTGTGCATCGTGTAGTATGCTTTGTCTTAAAGGGTCATGTTTGCACATATTCACATGTGGAATTTTGACATATTAAAGTGCAACTCCAGGGTACACTGATAAATACCTGATTGAAAAACATCTGAATTTACTGTTTTACCTGCCAAAGGATTTGTATATTTGTTCTGATATAAACACCCCCGCTATTTATGAATATCGCTCTGCTACTCCATGGATAGCATTACTGCTTCCTAAGTCAGTTTATGAACAGACAGACGTGATACTATTTTGCTGTCCGCTGGGGAGGGAGACGTAGGAAGCAAAATGTGTGTGGAAATATGTTAAAATGACAAGACTGTCTGTGCAGAATTTCAAATCCTTTAGCTGATAAAACAGTAAACATTTAAAGTTGCATTTTGCCACTGACCTTGAGTTTTGCTTTAAAGGCAACTTCGAATAGGACTTCAATGGAATAATGGCAAAATGAGTTAGAAAATCAGTACAACACACTATCTAGGCCACTGACTATGCTCAACTTTGATTTTCTAAGATGCATGCACAAACAAAATATAATCATTTACATTAGTTCATTTGTCAGTGTAAAGACTTTTATTCAGATTGTTTATACTGAAAACCAGCCACACAAACTGTGTTTGAGCTCTGCAAAGTTTTCTTTTTGCAAAATCTTCCTTGTAAGCCCCATGCAAGAACTTGCAGGAAGCTGCAGTGGGAAAAAATACACATTAGACTTCTCTAGCAGTACACAACTCCCATGCTTGATCAAAGTACCCAGTCACGACTGGGCCTATTTCTAAACTTGAATATTTAATTTTAAAGTATTGTAACTGTGCAGGCTTACGTATGAAAGATTTATCATTTACACTTTATTTTTTGTATTTTATCTGAGAATGGCTCTAGCAGTAAATACTAAAATGAGAAGGGCCCACTGAGAATTGACATTTTCTACCCCTTCAACTGCCACTGGTAGTACGTGTCTTCCAGATCCTAAGTAACTACTGAAATAACAAAAAGGAGCACTATAGTAGTTTACATTTTACTACAATACTATGTTGTAATACAAATATGCAGACTCTGGAGACCCTGTCGGATATCAGTACAAGGATATAGAATCATAGTAGGGATTTAAATTCAATAACAGATTTCCAACACTTTTCTGGCTGTAACTTCCCTTTATAATATCCTGCGCCAAATTCATGGAAGTCTTGTGATATTTTCGGAAACCGTTTCAACACAAGAATATAACGAAGCTCATCAATACTTAAATGTGGTGGCTGTTTTTGTTTTCTGTATTAAAGAAAATGCACTTGGCCTAAAAAAAATAAAAAAAAAAAAAAAAAAAAAATGGAAAAGTAGCTGCGAGAAATCCAGTGCCTTGTAATTTCCTATACACTGAACTGATATCTCAAACAATGTTATCAGTTTTCCTGCCATCTTCTGTAAACTACATTCTCACTATCTAATGGAGAGGAGGCAAGGAAGAGGTGTTTGAAAACCAAATCAGGAGAGCAACACTGCTCTTTCACAGATATAGTACAGTGAGTGAGCATTGGCCTCCTAGGAAAGGAGCTGCAGGGGAAAATAAAGGAAAACAGCCTGAAGAAGATAACCAACGTAGTCACCATATCTAAAGGCAGATAAGCTGCTGCAGCATCAGTGGCAAAACTACCAGGGTCACAAGAGTCTCACTTGCGACTGGGCCCTGGAGTTCCACCACTGTAAGAGGGGCCCACCGCCCTCTGCCGGCCACATGCCCCCCCCCCCCCCCCCGACTACTCTTCTACCAGTACAAGAGGTGATCTAGTCTCACTTACAGGCAGGCACACAGTATCCACACAGTTCACAGCTGCAGGGAGATGCTGTGTCGGGAGGTGGAGACTGAAGGAGAAGGTCAGCTGACCCAGGCAGGACCAGTAGGCTGAAGGGGTAGGAGCTCTCTGCTGTGAGAGGAGACCCTATGTCGATAGAGGAGTTACTGGAGGCACCTGAAGGGAAGAAGCTGGAAATACAAAGAGGAGGGGGAACCAAGTGATCTACAAGTGAGTGCCACTGATCCCATCCTCCATATCAGCACTGCCACTGACCCCATCCCCTCCCCACCACTGCCATTGATCACATAAACCCCACTACCACTGCTGCCTATGATTCTAACCCCCCCTCCCCCAAACCACATCACTGCTACCAGTGATCCCATCTCCCTCCCCACCACTGCCATTGATCACATAAACCCCACTACCACTGCTGCCTATGATTCTAACCCCCCAAACCACATCACTGCTACCACTGATCCCATCTCCCTCACCACCACTGCCATTGACCCCATCCCCCCACTACCACTGTTGCTATAGATCACATCACCACTGCCACTAATTCCATCCCATTCCTACCACAACCACCACCACTGCCACTGATTACACCCTTCCCCCCCACCACCGCTGATCCCATCTCCCACCACCACTACCATTGATCCCATCCCCCACTCCCACTGACCCCATCCCCTCTATTCTCCCACCACCACACCACATCAGAGCCCCCCATATATCAGAGCCTGCAGAATTTCACTGTAAGGGGGAGTTCTGTGGTTTCTGGTGTAAAGGGGACCTCTGATGTAAGGGGTGCTCTGCCTTGCATCAGAGTCCCCTTCTTACCGCAGAGTTCTCAGTGTTCCTTCTTAAATCAGAGTCCCCCCTTCCTTACAGTGTAAGGGAACTCAGATGCTATGGGGCACCCTGCGGATTCAAATATAAAAAGGGGAAGTCTGCAGATGTAGGTGTAAAGGGGAAGTCTTCGGATTCAGATATATAAAGGGGAAGTGCCGTGTGTCGCTAAAGTGTTCGGGTTTGGCTTGAAGAAGAGGTGGCAACCCTATCCAAGATGGAAGGAAGGGGGCCTGCTGCAGGACATGTGAAAAAAACATAATAAAAAGGGCCCCACGATGGGAGTTAAGGGCCCCAGCATTGGTGGGAAGGGTACAGGACCAGAGGTCAGGGGGGATCTTCATGGTTTCTTGAACCAGGGCCCTGGAGGTTCTAGTTACACCTCTGTGTGACACATAAGCCTAGATATGACTTGCTCTTTTTTAAATATGGACTGAACCTATATAAAATGGATTCATCCCACACTATAAATTCAGCTTTATGTAGAATCTGATACTTTGAAGAAGAGGTGGTCAACTGAAGACTCATTGACCTCTAGATCTCCAATAAGCATATTCATCACCTTCAATGCATGCTGCATTTGCTTAGCAGGACAATTTATCTTGTGGTTTGCCTAAATTCCAACATGGAAGTTGGCCATCATGCAGAAATGACATAGAAACAATAAAATATATTTATCAGTGTATTGCTGTTTGAAGGAGTTACAGTTTTCTTCTTGCATCATAATAGTTAAACAAAATATCCAAGGATGTTGCAAAGATAGTATATAAGAAGTTTATATTAATTAATCAGATTCTAGCATATCTCAAAGCCAAAGTTTATCTTTTTTTTAAAAAAAAAGGTACCGTATTTTTCGCTCCATAAGACGCACTTTTTTCCCCCCAAAAAAGGGGGGAAAACGTCAGTGCGTCTTATGGAGAGAATATAAAGCGGCCGGTCCGGTATTTCTGCCGCCACCATGTCAGAATACCGGGCCGGCCGCTCAGCTGTTCTCTCCTGCAAGGCCTTACCTGTTCCTCGCTCCAGCGCTGCACAGTCTTCCCGCGCTGGCTTCTCTGACAGCCGGGTTCCCAGTGCGCATGCGCTTTGTGAATGGTCCAGTGTTTTCTGGGACACATGACAGGTCCCAGAAGGCGCCGGGCCATTCACAAAGCGCAGCGCTTCTCGCGCATGCGCAGTGGGCACCCGGCTGTCACAGAAGCCGGCGCGGTTAGAAGAGGAAAAGACAACGCCACGGAAGTGGGAGCGGGTACCTGTCAAATTCAGGTACCCGCTCCCCCTCCCTCCCCAAAGGTCAGCAGTCTCTGGTCATCCCCTGCACTGTCTGCAGTCTCTGGTCATCCCCTGCACTGTCTGCAGTCTCTGGTCATCCCCTGCACTGTCTGCAGTCTCTGGTCATCCCCTGCACTGTCTGCAGTCTCTGGTCATCCCCTGCACTGTCTGCAGTCTCTGGTCATCCCCTGCACTGTCTGCAGTCTCTGGTCATCTGTACTGTGTCCCTGGTATTTTCCCTGTACTGTGTCCGCAGTCTCTGGTCATCTCCTGTACTGTGTCCGCAGTCTCTGGTCATCTCCTGTACTGTGTCCGCAGTCTCTGGTCATCTCCTGTACTGTGTCCGCAGTCTCTGGTCATCTCCTGTACTGTGTCCGCAGTCTCTGGTCATCTCCTGTACTGTGTCCGCAGTCTCTGGTCATCTCCTGTACTGTGTCCGCAGTCTCTGGTCATCTCCTGTACTGTGTCCGCAGTCTCTGGTCATCTCCTGTACTGTGTCCGCAGTCTCTGGTCATCTCCTGTACTGTGTCCGCAGTCTCTGGTCATCTCCTGTACTGTGTCCGCAGTCTCTGGTCATCTCCTGTACTGTGTCCGCAGTCTCTGGTCATCTCCTGTACTGTGTCCGCAGTCTCTGGTCATCTCCTGTACTGTGTCCGCAGTCTCTGGTCATCTCCTGTACTGTGTCCGCAGTCTCTGGTCATCTCCTGTACTGTGTCCGCAGTCTCTGGTCATCTCCTGTACTGTGTCCGCAGCCTCTGGTCATCCCCTGTACTGTGTCCGCAGCCTCTGGTCATGCCCTGTACTGGGTCCGCAGCCTCTGGTCATGCCCTGTACTGTGTCCGCAGTCTCTGGTCATCTCCTGTACTGTGTCCGCAGTCTCTGGTCATTCCCTGTACTATGTCTGCAGTCCATTGGTTCAGAATATTTTTTTTTCTAGTTTTCCACCTCTACATTACATTACATTACATTGAGTTTTATATAGCGCCAAAGGGTTTGCTCAGCGCTGTACAATAGAGGGGGGGACAATACATGAAACATTACAGCAACTACAAACAGCACACGAGGGGTTATAGGGCCCTACTCTTTCGAGCTTACGATCTAGGAGGGAGGGGGTAGTGGTACAGGAGGAAGTGGCTGTGGGGGATGGAGTGGTAGGAGGAATGAAGGAGAGCAGCAGTTAGGTGAGGGTGGGGTAGGCTTCCCTGAAGAGGTGGGTTTTCAGGGAGTGCCTGAAGGTGAGGAGGGAAGGTGACAGTCTGATGGATTGGGGTAGTGAGTTCCAGAGGATGGGGGAGGACCTGGAGAAGTCTTGCAGACGTGCGTGTGAGGAGGAGACCAGGGAGCAAGATAGAAGGAGGTCCTGTGAAGAGCGAAGGGTACGGGTAGGGTGGTACTTGGGAATCAGGTTGGTGAGGTAGTTAGGGCCAGTGTTGTGAATGGCTTTGTAGGTCAGAGTGAGTAGTTTGAATTTGATGCGTTGGGCGATAGGGAGCCAGTGGAGGGAGAGGCAGAGGGGGGTGGCAGAGGTGGAGCAGGTGGTGAGGTGGATGAGTCTAGCCGCTGAGTTGAGGATGGTCTGAAGCGGGGAGAGCCTGCACTGGGGTAGGCCGGTGAGGAGGGAGTTGCAGTAGTCAAGGCGTGAGATAATCAGGGAGTGCACAAGTAGTTTAGTGGTGTCTGGGGTAAAGAAGGAGCGTATTTTGGCGATATTGCGGAGGTGGAGTCTGCATGTGTTTCTAAGCGATTTGACATGAGGTTGGAAGGAGAGGTTAGAGTCCAGAATGACTCCAAGGACTTTGGCTTGCGGGGCGGGATTGATGGTGGTGATGTTAGTAGTGATGGATAGGATGGGGGGGGGGCGCGGGCAGGAGGGAAGACGAGAAGCTCGGTTTTGCTCCTGCACTCTTCCTCCATAGCTGCAGGAGAAAAGAGCCCCCCCGCCACAGTCACGGACGGGGGGGGGTTACTTATCAACTTATTGTACCCCAAATAAAAGTGTAACATATTGCCAAAAGTGGAATTAGCCTTTAATCTAATCTAAAAATCATGATCTCACTAGCTCAATGTGCTTATATCATGCACTACACGGTCAGGGCTGAAAAGTGGAAGGTGACAGGCTGACATTGGGCAAAGATGTCTAGTGTGGCTGGCACCTTTCCTTGCTGGGTCTTTTCTGTTTAAAAGCAGGAAAAGTTTCCAGGCTCATTGAACATGTCTGCTGGTTCTTAAACTGCATAGTCTCTTGAACTCTATAGTATAGTGAATATTGTTGAACAACCTGACCGTACACACAATACAAAACATTCTATAATGCATGATAAAAAAAAAAAAAAAAAAAAAAAAAAAAAAAAAAACACTTACAGGGTGAATCCCCGAGAAATAACTTCAGTTTCCTGGATCAGACGCAGGGATTTTCTCACAAGGTTGGTGAAGGCTCGGCTGTTTGCTACAGTCATTTCCAACTGGCCACAGTACTTTTTCAGTTTGACCTGTAGCCTGGCTGCGCTCCATGTTCTCAGTATTCTCAGGACGGCAAAAACGGCAAAGAGGAGAAGGCTGGGCCCCCAGATGAATAAAGAAGAAAAGTGCCAAGATTTCAGTGCAGCCAAAGCGCTGAGGAAAGCAAACAATACAGACATCTCCCTGCACAAAAAAATGGAAAATATAATCCATTAGGGCTCAGATCAGAACAATCTACACTATAAAACTAAACCCTAATATTATATTGTCTAATGAGAAAAGTTGGGCATACACCAATTTTCCATATTGCCAGCATGGAAAAAAAGTCAGATTTAATGTACAAGCCCAGGTAAAATCCTCTCTCAACTTAAACCTGCTCCCACTCCCACTCTAAGCCCTATACTAACTATCCTGTAAAGGAAGAATGTCTATACTTACCTATTCTGAGGTGCTCCGGTCTGGTCATGTGATCAGCTCCCAGCGTTGACTTAAGTGTAGAGGACGGACAGCTGACAATGGATGACCACAGTAAGCCTATGGGTGACTTCACCACATAGGCATTGCAGCCAAGGTCACCAATCTCTCCTCTTCACTGAAGCCGGTCACTGGGAAGGTCACGTGACTGGATTGGAGCACCATTAGAATAGGTAAGTAAGTGCATCTTCCTTCTACAGGGTAGTTAGAATAGGGCTTAGAAATGGAGTGAGAGCAGGTTTAAGTTTAGCTAGGATTTGACTGGAAATGTACTTTAAAACATAAAAATATTAAAAAAGTAGGGGTAATCAATAAGGAGAGTAAAGAGAAAAAGAAAAATTATGTTGCCTGAATGAAATTCCTTATTTAGCTTTTTCCTACTAAAAATAGACTACATTGGGTTATGGATGGTATAAATTACAGGTTATTTTTAGGGGGAAAAAAAAACACAAAATTCATCAACTGACAATACACATCTACAAAATAATTTTTTTGGGGCTCCTTGCATCACTCTATAAACATGCTGAGCTTTTAAAAATAATTTAAAAAATACAGCAAAGTACAGAACCTAAATACACACACACACACCATAAGAAAACCCCCCCAAAAAACACCACTTTTTAAAAGAATTCCACTTGCTTGACTGTACCAAATATTAGGAGTTGCTAGGGAGCGCAGTGTTGGAAGATGCCCTTTTTGTTGATTCTGGGTCTGACCAGCAGACAGGATCCCAGGGTCAAGCAACTCAATCAGCTCCACATCCTCCTGTATCAGGACTTCCTGCAACAAGATTGCTCGCAGGCTATCGAGTCGGAATCCAATATCCTAACAGGGTGGAGGAAAGAAAAACAGATGGCTCTTAACCCTTTTTTGTGAGAATAACAGAGGAACAGGTGCGATTATATCACTACAATTCTGCATGCACATGTATAAATGCACAAAAGGAAATATGAAAATAAAAACATGTGGTTATTGATGACAATACCTTCTTACTCTTCAATCAATTTTGAAATGACAAATACCCAGAAATACTGTACCCGTAAACAAGATATAGAATACTTACCTCTCCTGCCACCAGTACCAATGAATGCCACTCCATTCCAAAGATATCTCTGGCTGAAGTCTTTTGCAGGAACCAACACTTCCAGAAGGGTCAATGTCTTGGCCCACCACAGTGCTCTCTGGTTACTCCTGCTGTCCTCCATGTCGCTGCTATGTGCAGTAGTGATGTGGAGGTTGACAAGAGGAGCCAGTTAATGCTTGATGATGTGTTAGATTCACAGCTTTCCCTTGGCAATTAAAACTAAGTTAATAGAGAATGAATACCTATCCCCAGGACAGAGTAGGAACATTTCCCTGACGTGGACAATTACAGTAATAAGACACTTTGGCTAGCAAAAGTAAGAAACATACCCAACAGCTATTCATTTACAAATATAATTTTGTTAAAACATTAAACTCTTTAAATGAAGCATGCCAATTGAGAAACGTAAACTATTCACTTGGATATTAAACACACATGAAGAGTAAAAAACAAAAAAAAAAAAACACAACTATAGAAAAATGGGCTGAGGCCTGTAACCCATGAAACAATTATGCATGTATGCGACTTTAGCCGCAGGCACAGCACTCATCCTAATTTGACAGGTGTGTGACTGCATGCCCCCAAATGCATTCTATCTGCGTTTTAAGCTGCTCACTGACCCCTGTCAAATTTGGACAAGCAGCTATGTCCATGCTACTGCTGCATCCCCATAGCCTTACATGAGCTACCCCCATACAGCACTTCACAGCTAAAGCCACATGAACACCCAGCTAACCAACTGTCTATGGGCATCAGCATCCATGTGAACGAGGCCTACGGGTGTGTATGTACACACACACACACACACTTTCTCACAGAAGTGAGTACACCCCTCACATTTTTGTAAATATTTTATTCTATATTTTCATGTGACAACACTGAAGAAATGACACTTTGCTACAATGTAAAGTAGTGAGTGTACAGCTTGTATAACAGTGTAAATTTGCTGTCCCCTCAAAATAACTCAACACACAGCCATTAATGTCTAAACCGCTGGCAACAAAAGTGAGTACACCCCTAAGCGAAAATGTCCAAATTGGGCCCAATTAGCCATTTTCCCTCCCCAGTGTCATGTGATTCGTTAGTGTTACAAGGTGTCAGGTGTGAATAGGGAGTAGGTGTGTTAAATTTGGTGTTATCGCTCTCACTCTCGTACTGGTCACTGGAAGTTCAACATGGCAAAGAACTCTGAGGATCTGAAAAAAAGAAGAATTGTTGCTCTACATAAAGAGGACCTAGGCTATAAGAAGATTGCCAAGACCCTGAAACTGAGCTACAGCACGGTGGCCAAGACCATACAGCAGTTTAACAGGACAGGTTCCACTCAGAACAGGCTGCGCCATGGTCAACCAAAGAACTTGCGTGCACATGCTCAGCGTCATATCCAGAGGTTGTCTTTGGGAAATAGACATATGAGTGCTGCCAGCATTGCTGCAGAGGTTGAAGGGGTGGGGAGTCAGCCTGTCAGTGCTCAGACCATACGCCGCACATTGCATCAAATTAGTCTGCATGGCTAAAGATGATGCACATGAAAGCCCACAAACAGTTTGCTGAAGACAAGCAGACTAAGGACATGGATTACTGGAACCATGTCCTGTGGTCTGATGAGACCAAGATAAACTTATTTGGTTCAGATGGTGTCAAGCGTGTGTGGCGGCAACCAGGTGAGGAGTACAAAGACAAGTGTGTCTTGCCTACAGTCAAGCATGGTGGTGGGAGTGTCATGGTCTGGGGCTGCATGAGTGCTGTCAGCACTGGGGAGCTACAGTTCATTGAGGGAACCATGAATGCCAACATGTACTGTGACATACTGAAGTAGAGCATGATCCCTTCCCTGTGAAGACTGGGCCACAAGGCAGTATTCCAACATGCTAACAACCCCAAACACACCTCCAAGACGACCACTGCCTTGCTAAACAAACTGAGGGTAAAGGTGATAGACTGGCCAACCATGTCTCCAGACCTAAACCCTATTGAGCATCTGTGGGGCATCCTCAAAAGGAAGGTGGAGGAGTGCAAGGTCTCTAACATCCACCAGCTCCATGATGTCGTCATGGAGGAGTGGAAGAGGACTCCAGCGGCAACCTCTGAAGCTCTGGTGAACTCCATGCCCAAGAGGGTTAAGGCAGTACTAGAAAATAAGGGTGGCCACAAAATATTGACACATTGGGTCCCGAATATGGACATTTTCACTTAGGGGTGTACTCACTTTTGTTGTCAGCAGTTTACACATTAATGGCTGTGTTGAGTTATTTTGAGGGAACAGCAAATTTACACTGTTATACAAGCTGTACACTCACTACTTTACATTGTAGCAAAGTGTCATTTCTTTAGTGTTGTCACATGAAAAGATAATAAAATATTTACAAAAATGTGCGGGGTGTACTCACTTCTGTGCGATACTGTAGATATATATATATATATATTTTTTTTTGGAAACTGTATAAAAACAAAATTTATATAAAAATCATACACTTTGTAAATAAGAATATGCTCATAAGCAATGAGATGAACTAATTGTGGCTTCTCAGTGGTCAGTATCGAGTGTAGGTGGGCTTCTAACAGGAGACATCTGCATGAGCCAAGAATGCAATTTATGTTTACTTACATATATTAAAACAGTAATAGTGGAGGCCAAGAGGCTTTCTAGAGCAAAGGGATTCTCAGGAATGCACAGTTCCAGTAACAGTACTGACAGTTATTTGCATCGCACAAGCCTAAGCTACCGTCACCAACTTCAGCCAGAAATGTAGCTATTACAGCTTGTGCCAAGGATAAGCAGTCATCCAACTGAGAGTGTGCAGTTTGGTTTTTGAATGGTGGCATTCATGAAATGAAACACTAAATCTTGACACTCTATCCAATATGGTGAAAAGATTACAAAAGCGAAGAAAAATATGCAAACTTGTGTGTCTGCTTGGAAGACTTGCTAAAATGTAAATATCAATGCAACTCAACAATATAACCATGCTCCAGCAGAAAGTACTGTGAGCGAACCAACTCTCAGAAAATATTTTTTGTTTTTCCTATCTATGCTCATCAGTTTGGTTTAGAAAAAAAAACGATAAAAAAGGTTGCAGCTACTTCTGCAATTTCCATAACAAGGCAAAAGCAGGATAAGAGGGTGGCGAGTGTAATGCTGGCACTGGTGGAAACTGCACTGTGGTCAGGAGTAAAATACAGATTGCACAAATTGGCTTTGCATGACATATGAACAATCATATCAGGAAACTGCTGGTGTGATATTTGTACATGCTTTATTTTATCTATCAGAACTTAAATAACATGAAACGGTAAATGTGCATGTTGGAGCTCAGTGTGTATTCACCAACCTAAACAGTATCCAGGGATATTTTCTTTTTCTTAAAAAAAAAAAAAAAAAAAATAAATAAAATGCACTTTTTTTGCAGGTAAAAAAAATGTGCATTTACTATTTTTTGTTTTAGGAACCTAGAAAGTAATGCACCAGCAATCGCTAGATCTCTGGCGCCATGCAGGACTCCTGTAGACTGTCAGTGTAATCTGTCTGCTCATACAATCAGGCAGCTTTACATTGACAGGAAGAATCACAGAACTACCATGGCGGCCATCAGCACCGTTGTAGTTCACTGAGAACTACAAGCCGACATCTGCGGGACTTGTAGTTTCCTAATTACAGATCTCTCTGCCACCCGCCTGGTTGCATTGTTTTTTTTTCTTTTAATTGTCACAACGTGGGATTTTATTGGGGGGGGGGGGGTGAATGAAATCTGTGCTTTCTTCTCCTATCATTCAGCTCCTTGTACCCACCGCTGTGTAAACTGACTGGTTTACAGTGCTAGCTCTTCCTCTCCCAGTCTGAATGATGTTGTGGGAAGAACTGCAGGAGGCTAAAATATACTAAAGACAACCTGAGATATTAAATAGCATTAAATTAATAATATGATCAAAATTAGAGCTAAAACTTTCTTTATTTTGGATAGAGTAAGGAAGGTTTATTTTTCCCCATCTGTGTCCCATTGGGGAGATTTCCTTTCACTTTCTGTCCCATAGCCAAAACAGGAAGGGAAAATCTACCGAAAGTGCGGGAGTCAGCCAGGGTCACAAGAACTAGTATCCCCATTGATTGATATCCACACTATTCCTGTTTTGAGGCAATCCAAATATGGGATCTTCTTTTACCTTCACTTTTAAGAATAACAGTTAACAAGACAAATAGAGAGAGTGAATCTCCCTAACGGCACAGGCAGCAATGAAAAACCTGACAAGTGTTCTAATCCCCCTCCACTCTCATATCCTCACAGAACTGCCATAACTGGCCTCTGAAGAAAATGCTAGTTGTCTGGCTGACTTTCTGGCTTTAATACTGCCTTGGAGATCTCTCCTAATAGGTTTATTTTAGTTGTAGCAATTGCAGACCAGTAAAATGGCCAGTATACACTGGCTTTTTTGTTCATGTCAGTACTGCTTCTCTATCAAATACAAACGTCTACGGGAAGTCAGGAGGTCTACTGAAGATCGCATATACCGGCAGTGAATTCCGAATGATCGGCAAAGCATTTCAAACTGCTGTCAAAAGCAAACAGCTTTTGCAGGCCAGAATTCATTTTTTTTTACTTTGTTTCTTTTATTTTACCTGATCATCCTGCAATTAACAATTCTTGACCCTGGCTGGATACTCAGGCTGGACTTCAAACATGTCTATCTTATTTCATCTACATTACATGGGACAGAGCTCGACACATCCCAGGCACCAGGTCACGATGGCGACTAGAAATTGCATCCTGGAGCCTGGCCTTTTGTCAGCCCACTCACTGTTATGAATAACGTGTCCACTTGAAACCCAAGTACGTTATTCAGACAGGAATGTGGCTCGGAGCAGAGCCTGGTGGGACGGTGAGAGGAGCCCATTGAGACAGGACAAGCAGGACATTACAGACATCTGAAAGTTGTAAAACATTAAACAGGTGGCATTTTTTTTTTCTTTTGATGGGAGTATGTTGGAGATAAGGGAGTCCCACCTCATTTTCCCCTCTCTCACCCCCCCCCCTCTCTCTTACCCCCCTCACCCCTCCTCTCTCTCAACCCTCCGCTTTCCAGCTGGCTGCTCTGCTGTAAGGGTTAGGGGCACAAATTACTTGCCTTGCCCTGGCACTGAAAAAAACCACGCTACGCTAAAAAACCTTTTTTTTAGCTGGCTCCTAGATTCAAAGCAAATTTGTCAAGCCCCGCCATGGGGTATGATGGGATTAGTAGTCTACACAACCAAGATGCTGTGCCAGTGCTTGCTGAAAATGTGCCAAGCCTGAAAACCCGCCCCCCCAAAAAAAACAAAAAGAAAATAAAAAAAAAAAAAAAAAAAACACAACACTAATATATATATATATATATATATACACACATACATACATACATATATATACACACACACACACACACATATATATATATATATATATACACATATATATATACATATATATACACACACATACAGTTGCAGAGAAAAAGTATGTGGACCCCTTGGGATTACGTAGTTTTGCATGAATTGGGCATAAAATGTGCTCTGAACGTCATCTAAGTCACAACAATAGAAGAACACAGTCTGCTGAACATAATACTACACAAACATTAGATGTTGCCATGGTTTAATTGCACATAACATGTAAACATTCACAGTGCAGGGAGGAAAAAGTATGTAGGCCCTAGCTTAATGACTTCTCCCAGAGCTAATTGGACCCAGAAGTGAGCCAACCTTGACTCCAATCAGTGTGATGATATTGGATGTGTTGCTGACAGCTGTCCTGGCCTTAAAAAAAACACACACCTGTTTTTGGTTTTACTGGTTTCAAGAAGCACTGTCTGATGTGAACCATGCCTCGCAGAAAAGAGCTCTCAGAAGACCTACGATCACGAATTGTTGACTTGCATGAAGCTGGAAAGGGTTACAAAAGTATCTCCAAAAGCCTTGATGTTCATGTGTCCACGGTAAGACAGACTGTCTACAAATGGAGAAAGTTTAGCACTGTTGCTACTCTCCCTAGGCATGGTCATCCTGTAAAAATGACTGCAAGAGCACAGCGCAGAATGCTGCATGAGGTTAAGAAGAATCCCAGAGTGTCAGCTAAAGACCTACAGAAATCTCTGGCACATGCTAACATTTTTGTTGACACATCTACAATAAGGAAAACATTAAACAAGAATGGAGTACATGGGAGGACACCACGGAGGAAGCCATTGCTGTCCAAAAAGAATATTGCAGCACGTTTGAAGTTTGCAAAAGAGCACCTGGATGTTCCACAGCACTACTGGCAAAATATACTGTGGACAGATGAAACCAAGATTGAGTTGTTTGGGAAGAACACACAACACTATGTATGGAGAAAAAAAGGCACAGCACACCAACATCAAAATCTCATCCCCACTGTAAAACATGGCGGGGGGAGCATCATGGTTTGGGGCTGCTTTGCTGCCTCAGGGCCTGGACGGATTGTTGTCATTGATGGGAAAATGAATTCCAGAGTTTATCAAGACATTTTGCAGGAAAACGTACAACCATCTGTCCGCCAACTGAAGCTCCGCAGAGGATGGGTGATGCAACAGGACAATGACCCAAAGCATACAAGTAATTCAACAAAATAATGGCTGCAACAGCACAGAATACTCCTTCTGGAGTGGCCCAGTCAGAGTCCTGACCTCAACCCGATTGAAATGTTGTGGTATGACCTTAAGAGAGCGATTCACACCAGACATCCCAAGAATATTGCTACACTGAAACAGTTTTGTGAAGAGGAGTGGTCCAAAAGTACTCCAGATCGTTGTGCAGGTCTGATCTGCAACTACAGGAAACGTTTGGGTGAGGTTATTGCTGCCAAAGGAGGGTCAACCAGTTATTAAGTCCAAAGGTTCACATACTTTTTCCTCCCTGCACTGTGAATGTTTACATGTTATGTGCAATTAAACCATGGCAACATCTAATGTTTGTGTAGTATTATGTTCAGCAGACTGTGTTCTTCTATTGTTGTGACTTAGATGACGTTCAGAGCACATTTTATGCCCAATTCATGCAAAACTCCACGTAATCCCCAAGGGGTTCACATACTTTTTTTCTTGCAACTGTATATATTTAAATAAAATATATGAACTAAATATACGTTCAAAAAAAAAAAAAAAAAAAAAAAAAGGGAGGTAATTGCAAATATTAACTTACCAACAAATGGACTCTTTCATCTTTTTTCTTTTCTGAAATAAAAGGGTTCCAGCTTTGTAAGAAAGCAAGCACTCTCTTGTATATGCCTGGCTGAAGACAGAAAAAAAAACAGAGAAAATCTTTATTGCATTTATCATGTAACAGAAGACAATTAGGCCCCTTCCACATGGGGCAGACTCCACCAGGAGTCCGCATGCTCAGCGGGGGATCTGATTGCTAATCCCCGCTGAACAGGCTGATGACTGGTCTGTGTCTGCTCCACTTATGCAGAGCGGACACAGCCCTATCTCTATGGGCAGCCGTCATATGTAAACAGACTACCTGTATGTTTACACCCGACTGCCATCTGATCCGATGGCAGTCGGGTGTAAACTAGACGGAAGGATAAGGATCCTCCATCTGTCTGTTTTTAGTGGATCAGATTAAATGTAAGCGGCTGTAAAACGGACATGTGTCTGATTATACCCAAAGCTCCATAGGAGGAGAATGGAGGGTCTGATCAAGTTCACCTGTCCGTTTTTCACTAGCTGGTGTGAAAGGGGTCTTACATTAACTTTATAAAAGAACATATTAGGCCTGGTTCACACGAATACAGTTTGCATTTTGTCCTTTTCTGCAGTGCTTTTTGCATTTTTGATGTGTTTAAAAAAATGTTGTGACTTAAAGTGAACCTAAACCCTGGTTTGAATAAAGAAAAAAAATAAATCTATCCAAGAATGTGTTCTTAACTCATAGTAACTTCTATTGGTCTCAGCCTTCTGCAGATTCCTTTTTTTGCTGCTGTGGTCTGACTCTGCATGGTCCCACTGTATGTTGGAACACAGCCACCATCGTTTAGAAGGACTAGGGACTTTAGGAACTGTAGTACAAACAGAGCAGTGCACATCACCGCAACTAACGTGTACTACTAGTTCCAACCAAAATGAATGTGTGTGGGGGGGGGGGGGGGGGGGGGAACATTCAGAAACTTATGGGGATTGTTACAAGGCGCAGGAAAACACAGGAAGAAACCATTTCATGAAAATAGGCTAGATGACTATTAAGTAATGGATGTTTATGGATTATTTTTGAAAGATAAGGATATTGTTTAGTGTCACTTTACTTTGTCTGGAGTCAGATTTCAGAGATTAAAATGAAACAATTAAACTAAAATCTTCAGGCAGGCAAAAAAAAAACATTATCAATGATTATTTATTAAAGTGGTTCTAAAAGGTTGAAGGTTTTTTACGTTCATGCATTCTATGCATTAAGATAAAAACCTTCAGCATGCAGCTTCCCCCGCAGCACCCCATAATGCTTACCGGAGCCTGATCCGATGCTGTGCACGAGAGCCTTGGCCCTCCAGGGTCTCTGTCTCCTCATGGGCCAATACCCAGCCTTTGGATCCTGCTGCTGTTAATCACAGCCAGTGAGAAGGGAGTGGGGGTGGGGCTTAGCCACGCTCTGTGTGCCTTATGGACATACAGGGCCGGCTTGGGACTGAGCACGAATGAGTGCCCCCAAAGCAAGCAGCTTACTGTGGGGGCACACTGCAGGAGTGCCAGTGGGGGACATAAGAAGAGGAGGATCGAAGCGGATCTGTGCAAAACCACTACACAGAGCAGGTAAGCATAACATGTTTGTTATTATCATTTAAAAAAAAAAAAAAGACATTTTACAACTACTTTAAATGTATATTATTAAATGCAACTAGTGTAAGTGCCAACATCTGTCTTGCTATTAGCCTCTTTTGTAACGTCCTGTACAGTGCTGAGAGAGGAAGGGCAGCACTAGAAGGCAATCAAGTTTGCTGCATGCACATACACACACAAGGATCATGCTAACAGCAGAAAAGAGCAGAAAGAGGTCGATTGGCTCCTACTCCCTCACTGTCCAAAACACAGGCTGGGACAACAGAGAGGTGACCTGAGGACCTAAGTAGAGAAAAGCCAGATTTAATTTGACTGTGCCATTTGGCAGTCTGGTGGAGCTGTATGAATCTCAGAAGGCAAGCAAAACCTATTTCCTATATTGAAACTGTGTGTAGTTTGCCTAGTTTTAAAACTAGGTTTTATGTGTAAAATAAATAAAACAAAAAAAACAACAAAAAGATTCATGTGAACTTAGAGCAACCTCACATAACATCTGTGGACATCCACCAAAAAAAAAAAAATGGTATCAAGCACACCTCTGCAGTTGTGTTGGCCTGTCCTCGACTTCCATTCTCTGGCAGACGCTCCTCTGGCGTCACTGCTGGACATATTTCAAAATCTGTGTGTCCCAAATCTTGCAGATACTGGTACAGTGGTGAATTCTGAAATAAAGGAGTTGATTGGCAAGTGGTAATTCAATGTGTAGCAGAAAACCTACAGCCTGTTGGAATTATATCAATAATTGAGGCATAAAAAACATTATTCCTTTACAGGACAACAATCCTTGAACTTTCCTGGATTAGGCTAACATATACAAATGCTTAATTTCCTATCTGCTGTAAAAATTCAGACATTATTTAATCGCTGGCCCCTTTGTATTAAAAGAAAAAAAATGGTCTGTGCCAAGCATTTTTGGAGTCCAGTATATACCAGGGAATTAAAAATCAATTGCATTGCCTACTGCTTTCATCTTGCCTTCAGCTGGCTACTTAGAACTTCTGATTAAGTTAATGAAGTGTTAAAATGTTATTAAAATATTTCACTGCACCAGATGTCACAAAGGTTTCAGACTGCCAAATAGTACGCCACTTGGCACTATCAGCCTGAACTGTTTTTAGAATAAAATTTTAGTGAATGACATTCTTAGGGACAAAAATAACACAGGCAGATTACAGTTGAAATCTCCCGGACAGAGAATACAGACAGGAACAGTTTTTGGAAATGTATATCCATGTCACAACTGCTAGAAGTTTGCTTTACTTTTGAAAAATAATAAAAATGTATATATACAGTGGGTAGAAGTAATAATCACACCACTTTAAAATAATCACATTTTGTTGCTTTGCAGCCTGAAATGAAGACAGACAGTTTTTGTTTTATCCAGCTGTATTTACTCCAACACATCAGAAAAAAAAAAGAAAAAAATTAAAAAACAGAATCACTGAGCTGGAAAAAGGATCACCCCCTTGTGTCAGTATTTTGTTGAACCACCTTTTGCTTTAATTACAGCCTTTAGTCTGTTGAGATATGTCTCTACTAACTTTGCACATCTAGACTTTGCAATATTCGCTAACTTTTCTTTGCAGAACTGCTCAAGTTCAGTAAATTTGATGGTGACCGTTTGTGGGCTGCAGTCTTCAAGTCATTCCACAGATTTTCAATGGAATTTAAGTCTGGGCTCTGACTGGGCCATGCAAGGACATTCACCTTTTCCCCCTTCAACTGCTGTGTAGTCATTTTTGCTGTGTGCTTTGGGTCACTATTATGTTGGAAGGTAAACCTTCTTCCCATTGACAACTTTCTGGCAGATGGCAGCAGATTTTCCTCAAGAATTTGACAGTATTTTGCCCCATCCATTTTTCCTTCTATTATGAGAAGTTCTCCAGTCCCTGCTGTAGAGAAACACCCCATAACAGGATATTACTACCTCCATACTTTACCGTAAGAATGGTGTGATTGGGATGCTTAGCTGGATTGAATTTCTGCCAGCCAGACGTATCATTTAGTGTTGAAGCCAAAAAATTCCATTTTAGTCTCATCTAACAATACCACCTTTTCCCATGTGGCTTCAGAATCTTCAATGTGAACTTTGGCAAAGATGAGTGTGACTATATGTGACCTTTTTTGAGGAGTGTCTTTTTTCTTGCAACCCTCCTATACAAGTCTCATTTGTGGAGAATTTGTGATATTGTTGTCACATGCAAAGAATGACAACTCTGTCATAAATTCCTGCAACTGCTTCAGAGTTGCTGTAGGCCTCTTGGTAGCCAGTTTCCTCCTGGCTCTTTTGTCCAGTTTGTAGCGACATCCTGATCCAGGAAAGGGTTGTACCAAATACCTTCAACTTCTTAATAGACCTCACTGTGTGCTTCTAGGCATTGATAAAGCCTTTGAATTTTTTTTGTATCCATATCCTGACTTGTGCCTGTTCAAAACTTTATCCCGGAGATAGTTTCACAGTGCCTTGCCACCCATAGTTAATTATTTGCTTCAGTTGCACTACCTGGGACTGAAATGCTCCCGGAAAGTTCTTTTCATGCTGAGCTAATCAAAATGACCACAGCTGATCACAGTTGATAGTCAAATGGCTGTGTGTGCCATTGAGAAGGTGATTAGCTACACCTGATCGAGTCATTTTTAGGAGAGGGGTGATCTTTTTTTTCCCAACTCAGCGATTCTGTTTTTGAGGGTTTTTTTTAAATTTCCGGACATGTTGGTGTTATATATCTTTCACTTGGATGTTTTAAGTTGCACCAAGTAAATACAGCTGGATAAAAACTATCTGTCTTCATTTCAGGCTACAAAGCAACAAGATGTGATTATTTTAAGGAGAAGGGTGATTCTTTTCTATACCCACTATACACATACGCGCACATATAAACACACACACACACAGGGTAGAGTGGTAAGGGTAAGAACCTCTGCCAGGCAATAATGTTGCATATGTCACCCCTGGTGAAATATTCTTTACATTTACATTTTCTGTCCAGAGAGTGATGGAGCATAGCCAAATACAGACAACTAGAAAAAGGCTAATAAAATACAGAGGATATCAGAAAAAACAAAATACCTATTTGCAGCAGAAAGCGTGTTGCACATTTGGGCTCCTTTAATGCAGTGGTTCTCAACCTTCCTAATGCCGTGACCCTTTAATACAGTTCCTCATGTTGTGGTGACCCCCAGCCATAAAATTATTTACCCAGTAATTATAATTCATGAATGTTGTTTTACCTCCAATACTGCTGCTTTCAACACAGTAGCTGCTTTCAACACAGCAGCTGCTTTCAACACAGCAGCTGCTCTTTACACATCGGAAATATGTGTTTTCTGATGGTCTTAGGGGACCCCTGTGAAAGGGTCGTTTCAACCCCCAAAGGGGTCACGACCCACAGGTTGAGAACCACTGCTTTAATGGCACCCCAAATGCAATAGTAAAAATTGCACTAAGCTAGTCACCAAAAAAAGGAGATGGAGCTTCTTTTGGGCCACAAACATGCATAGGGAAGACCACTGAAGTGAATGGGATGCCCTACTCACAAACAGAAAAAAAAAAAAAAAAAAAACAAAACAAAAATTGTGAGTGGGAACCCTTGTTTCCGCTATGCAATATGTAAACAGGGCCTTAGGGTAATGTGGAAGCACTTCTACATTGTTTTAAAACACCGTTTTAGCTGTAGTTCCATTTTAGTAAGGCTGTGCACTTTCAAAGAATAAAAATCTATTTAGAGATTTAGACTATAGATTGACTATAGATTAAACCAACTAAGCACTATTCCACTATGATATATGAGATATATACAGGTGAAACTCAAAAAATTAGAATATCGTGCAAAAGTTCATTTATTTCAGTAATGCAACTTAAAAAGGTGAAACTAATATATGAGATAGACTTATTACATGCAAAGCAAGATAGTTCAAGCCATGATTTGTCATAATTGTGATGATTATGGCTTACAGCTCATGAAAACCCCAAATCCACAATCTCAGAAAATTAGAATATTACATGCAATCAATAAAACAAGGATTGTACATAAACAATATCGGACCTCTGAAAAGTATAAGCGTGCATATGTACTCAGTACTTGGTTTGGGCCCCTTTTGCAGCAATTACTGCCTCCATGTGGCGTGGCATGGAAGTTATCAGCCTGTGGCACTGCTGAGGTATTATGGAAGACCAGGATGCTTCAATAGCGGCCTTCAGCTCTTCTGCATTGTTCGGTCTCATGTCTCTCATCTTTCTCTTGGCAATTCCCCATAGATTCTCTATGGGGTTCAGGTCAGGGGAGTTTGCTGGCCAATCAAGCACAGTAATCCCACGATCATTGAACCAGGTTTTGGTGCTTTTGGCAGTATGGTAAGGTGCCAAGTCCTGCTGGAAAATGAAGTCAGCATCCCCATAAAGCTCATCTGCGGAAGGAAGCATGAAGTTCTCCAAAATCTCCTGGTAGACGGCTGCGTTGACCCTGGACTTAATGAAGCACAGTGGACCACCACCAGCAGATGACATGGCTCCCCAAATCAACACAGACTGTGGAAACTTCACACTGGATGTCAAGCATCGTGCAGTGTGTGCCTCTCCATTCTTCCTCCATACTCTGGGTCCTTGGTTTCCAAATGAGATGCAAACGTTGCTCTCATCAGAAAAGAGGATTTTGGACCACTGAGCAACAGACCAGGTATGTTTAATACAGCACTTTGGGAACATCCAACTTCTTTTGCAATTACCTTTTGAGGCTTTCCCTCCTTATGGAGGGTGTCAATGATGGTTTTCTGCACAACTGTCAGGTCATCAGTCTTTCCCATGATTGTGATTCCTACTGAACCAGACAGAGACCATTTAAAGACTCAGGAACCCTTTGTAGGAGTTATGGCTTAATTAGCTGATTAGAGTGGGACACTTTGAGCCTAGAATATTGCACCTTTTCACAATATTCTCATTTTCTGAGATTGTGGATTTGGGTTTTCATGAGCTGTAAGCCATAATCATCACATTATGACAAATCACGGCATGAACTATCTTGCTTTGCATGTAATGAGTCTATCTCATATATTAGTTTCACCTTTTCAGTTGCATTACTGAAATAAATGAACTTTTGCACGATATTCTAATTTTTCAAGTTTCACACACACATCTATCTATCTATCTATCTATCTACACACACACACACACACACACAGTGAGGAACAGAAGTATTTGAACACCCTGCGATTTTGCAAGTTCTCCCACTTAGAAATCATGGAGGGGTCTGAAATTCACATTGTAGGTGCATTCCCACTCTGAGAGACAGAATTAAATAAAAAACAATTCAGGAAATCACATTGTATGATTTTTAAAGAATTTGTCTTGCACTGCTGAACATAAGTATTTGAACACCTAAGAAACAGCAAGAATTCTGGCTCTCAAAGACCTGTTACTGTGCCTTTAAAAAGTCCACCTCTACTCCACTCATTAATCTAACTTAGTAGCACCTGGGTGTTCAAATACTTCTGTTCCATATATATATATATATATATATATATATATATATATATATATATATATATATCACACAAAGTAGACTACTTGATCTTTTTTTCTGCTGTCACTCTGCTATGTATCTATATATATGTCCATTCATGCTCTTGCAATCTGTTACAAAAGGCACATATATATGCCAGGGGT